GTCATTAGGGTCAAAAATCCCTGGGAGTGCAATCTCCAGCAAAAAGACAAGGACATCAGACTCCCTTTCATCACTGGCAACGAGTGAAGAGGTAAATGTGTAAAACAACAAGGCTTATGAATGGTGAGAGTTTTGTAACTGCTTTTTACAAATAAGTAAATGTGTTTTGTCCTCACAGGCTCCCATTGAAGGAAACGTGGCGTCTAATATGGCGTCGTCCAGAGACTTAGTGGGTGTTTCTCAATGTCAAGGCGCCTGGCCTTGCAAGGCGATGTCTTGCGAGGCCAGGCGCCTTGCTTACGAGGACACTGTCCTTCCTTGGTCAAAGAAAACGTTTAAATGGAACAGACTTGCATCACGTAACCGCGGCTTCCGGCGGTCATGTGACGTCATGTGACATGGGAGATAACATTATATTTTATACCTACAAGTTTCAATATTATTATACAACGAGCCTTTTACTTTTTAAATTGTGTAAATATTAGTTAAATTAACTATATAATCGTTAGTTAAATTAACTATATAATCGAGCTACTACCTGCTAGCCACTGAAGCTGCAACTACTAACTAACTAACTAACTAACTAACTAACTAACTAACTAACTAACCATAGATAACTTCTTTGGATCTAAAAAAAACATTTGAAATTTGATGACTTACTTTTAAACTTGAAATTTTCCCCTGAAGTAGCTGCCGGCTTCTGATTTGCCATCCTTTTGAAAACACTGTGGTGTATTATGGGTAATTTTTGACCAATGCTGGGCTACAAGACACCTCCTGTTTATACTTGCTCAGCTAGCTAAACGGCTAACAAACGGACAACACATGCCTCAGTAGAACATGAACATTGGAACACGTCTAGGCGGTTCCTGATGACAAATCTCCTAGGCAACCGGGGCGGGGCCAAGACATTGATGTCTTGCTTTCTCTCGGTCTACACTTTCCCAGAATACAGCGTGGTATTTTCATAAGGCTGGCGGATCAAAAGCCAGCAGCTTCGGTGGCTAGCAGGTAGTAACTCGCTCACATATTTAATTTAACCAGTATATACACAATTCCTCGCCTTAGGCTACTGCCCCCGCGACCCGACTCCGGATAAGCGGATGAAAATGGATGGATGGATATACACAATTTTTAGGACAACAACAGGACATTCTGTGTTAAACTGGGTGATGTTTTTTCTTCTTGGGAGGGGCTCCGCTGGGGGGTCCCGCAGGGATCGATCATTGGTCCTCTTTTGTTTGCCATTCATCTGCTTCCTCTGGGGTCAGTCTTTCGTAAACATGGCCTATCATTACATCTCTATGCTGACGACTGCCAGATTTACTCTCCATTGTGTCAGGAGAAAGGACACTCCATCCAGTCCTTTGTGTCCTGTCTTAACGAGGTGAAGTCTTGGCTAATGGCCAACTTTCTGCATCTGAATGAGGGAAAGACAGCTCATTGTTTTTCACCCCAACAGCAGGAATGTGGGTCGTTATGTTGATCTTGGCCCTCTTTCTCCCTTCTCAAAACCAGTTGTCACCAGTTTGGGGGTGAAAATTGATGCTGGACTTAAATTTGATGCTCACATCAACTCAGTGATCTGGTCCAGTTTCTTTCATCTGAGACGCCTTGCAAAAATCAAGCCTATGCTGTCGAGAGCCCACCTGGAGCGGGTACTGCATGCCTTTGTTATTTCTAGGCTTGATTACTGCAACTCTCTCTATGCAGGGTCGTGTCAGTCATCACTGTGTCGCCTACAGGTTGTGCAGAACAGCGCAGCCAGGTTCCTGACTGGGACCAGGAAACAGGACCACATCAGTCCAGTTCTGGCCTCCCTGCACTGGCTTCCGGTTTGTTATCGTTCACACTTCAAACTCCTCGTCTTTGTCTACAATTTCTTCCAGAGTAATGCTCCCCCCTATCTAGCCACACTCCTGAACAGACATTCCCCATCATGCGCTCTGCGCTCATCTGACCAAGGCCTGCTCGCTGTCCCTCGTTCGAGGTGTCGTACTCGCGGGGACCGGGCTTTCTCAGTCCTAGCACCGTCACTCTGGAACCAGTTGCCACCCTCAGTTAGGCTGTCCCCATCTCTGTCAGTCTTTAAGAGTCGCCTAAAAACCCACCTCCTCTGCTTGGCGTTTCCTGAACGTGTTTGAATTTGGCCATCTTTAATGTTGATTTTATTTCCCTGTTTTCATTGGTTCCTTTATCCCTTGTTTTACCCATTTGTCTTCTACTAGAATGTTTTACCTTTTTTTGAAATTTGTAATTTGAACTGATTTTATTTTTTATTTATTCACCATATTTAACTTTGTCATGTACTATGTTCAGCGCCTTGGGCTACCCGACAGGGTTGCGGAAGGGGCTATATAAATAAAGCTTTGATTGATTGATTGATTGATTTTAAAAGTAAAAGGCTCATTATATATTTATATTGAAACTTATACGTATAAAATATAACTTTAACTAATGTGTCACGTGACGTCACTGCTGTGGGAGCCGTAGAGATAAGTCTTCTATCTAACGATTTTCTAGGAAAGACAGTGTCCTCGTAAACAAGGTGCCTTGAATTTAAGAAACATCCTCAGACCTGCTACTGAATATAGCACTTCCTAGCCACTTTTTGTATTTTAGAACTGGTTTTTATGGTTATGTGTTACAAAGCCGCCA